TTGATAAATCCTTAGGACTTTTATTATATATATATATATTAATATATATTTATTAAATATATTAATATTTCAAAATTCTTTTATTCTTTCTACTGTTTCAACTGTTTTGTAATAATTTATTTTTATAAATGCATAAAAGCATTGCAATGATTGATATTTCAAGTTTCATAGAAAAATAGTACTTCCAACGAATAAATAAGCACAGTCTTACTATTTTCATTGAAGATATATTAAAACCAACAATTATAACGACTAAGACTAAGAAAGAGTGAATATTTTACGAATATCTGAATTTTTATTATATGAATATTTACTTTGGCTCACAGTTTTTGACCTTATAATATAGATCTTAAAATAGCCACTGTTCTTGGAAACTTTTACGACAGCTCTTCGTAAGGTCAACTGTCTCTAAGACTGGACACTGCGGCATCCACAATTTATTTTTAATAGATGCCTCTTCGTCGAGATTTGAAAGCGGTCTGAGATAACGTCTGAGTTAGCTACGTTTCAGCTTGACGTGATTAATGATTCAGGATTTAATCGGGTTCGATCATCCGCTACCATGTATTAACGGACGGTCGGATCGATTAGGGCCGACTCGATAAATGGATTCCCGGCAACCTTGTAAAAAGCTGCGTTTCGTTCATTTCCCGCCTGACTTGGATGTAGATTCCTTGACTTATACCCCACGGAATCCACCTGTAATAACCGGTCAAAATCAATAAGAACCGAAGTTTCTAAGGCAAGGAAAACTGCGGGAATCGATAGGATGTCATGTGCTAGCCGATCAAGTGGAGAATTCTGAAGTAACATTCGGAAACTATAATTTTCCAAACTGCTATTAACTTTAAAACGACGTAAAAATTCTGTTTGTTCGCATCGAGATGTTTCCTAATTGTTCTCGTAATTTACTTCCGATTAACTTTGGCGTGGGAACTTTAGCGGGCATAAGCAATTTTTATGCGCCTTTATATTTCTCAAAGAAAATATTCGTAGCTTCGACTCTGAATTCGTCGATGAGAAAACGCTTCTTACGTGTTCTTCCTATTTTCCTGATAAAATTTGACACAGAGTGAAAACGATATCTAATTTCCATTGTAACCATTTTTGTGCATCTTGTAATCCTCGGTGGTATTTTGTAATAGAAAAATAAGCTTTTGCTCTAAAAATAAACTTTTATTCTATAAAATTACAAAATAACAGAAAAATGATTAATTTCCACAAGCAAACCCGCGCGCTCTATAAAAATTGGTAATATTGAATTACCATGATAAACGAATCATACAAAATCATCTCTATCGTCGCGTGTACCTAATTTGACCATTGATTCAACACTTTTCATGTTTTCGTCCAAGAAAATTGAGGAAAGTTAACGGAAACGATGATTGCTTCCCGATGATCATTGCACAAACTAGCGCAGTTTGCACGGCTAGAACAGAATGCTTCAATTCTTCGAAGAAAATTGGAAAGCTCTGTCGGTCATAAACATTTTTGTTCCCTTCGATGATGCGCCGAATGCTTCCTGAATACCTGCATCGTCATAGTGATCTCCCGATTGCCATTTAAAGGCTAATGCTTTCAGTAGTTCGAAGAAAATTGTGAATAAGAGTCCCGCAAAGCTGTAGGGAAGTCTACGTTGTAAATCAATGATGATTGTGCTACGTGTCTATTGTTCATCTGCGAGAAGTTCCACAGAACATGATTATTACTTCCTGTTCCTGGAACCCATTCGTGTGATTGCATTACAATTAAGATCGTTGGTTTCACCGATCCATGCATCGATAATGCACATGATTCTGCTGTTTATTTTCTTAGAATCTGTAGTCCAATCTTAGAGCATAAGCATCTTATAGCGTATTCTGGCCAACAATTTTATATAATCTTATGTAATATTATATAATATAACTCTATATAATCTTATGGTGTATTTTAACAATTGTGGTGGACCAGTTCGAAAGTGAAAACTGTTTAATTCCGACGTGTTAACAGTTTGTCATTTTCTGCCTTAACATTAAATCCAGCATGACCAAAACGATCGGTTTCTAACTTTAAAATTTGATAGGCTTGAGAAACTTTTAAAATTTAACCTTCCATCGGGAATGCATGAATAAATTACATTATTGATCCAAGCTGTGTAATGAAAACTAGGGAAAATCTAAACGAATTCGATTTTGTTACTTTTATGAGACGATGTCATTCGCTAGGTTCAGTGTTGATGATTGTATAGCTAAAGTATTTTGTATAACGATTTTTCTGTATGACAAAACACTTTATTTGCACAGAATTCAATCCTCTCACTAGATATATGAAGAAATAGTTTATAAATCCCTAAATAGAAACTGTATGGTATATATTTTGTGCAGGAAGATGTTTTAGACTTAAACGGGTTTTCCCTATTGTTATATTTAATTTTATGCAATAAAATCGTTATTATCATCATATTTCCCTGTTATAAGATCGCTTCGTGTAACCAGTGAGCTAAAAATAGCACACCAAAGAAAGACCTTTGACAGTATGCACAGTCTAAGTCGATGTCGGCTAACGAAATGACTGGCCAACGTGATTTCTCTCTTTCTCGATGAGCTCGAGTCGTAATGACGGATAATTGGGCGAAAAGTGTGCCGTCATTGAGGCGCGCGGCCATCGAATTATTGAAAGTTGGAAGTTTCGTTAAATTGACAGACCTCGAAGTGGCATGAAATTGTCATAAGCGGCCGGCATTTTACGTGGCGCACGAAGTCGGCGTGCCTACTATAATGTGCCCCGGCATTTCCGCCTACATTGATTGATCTATTTACTAAGAAAGCACGACGACGTAAACGCCGCGCACCGGCTCGAAACGTGTCAGTGATGTGACGAGGTCCGTGCACCCGGTCTGCTTCTAAAAAATTTATTAATCCAGCGTCGATCACGCGATCCGCGACGAAATATATATTACGTTGCCGCGTATCATTCGTGCGGTATCTACATATTTCCTGCAGTAAATAATTCGTTAGCCACAACGCGATCGAAAATGTATTCCATGAAACGGATATCGCTGTGAAATCGGATCACGTCAACCTCATTTGATAAATAGTACATTAAATGGAAACGGCAACGTTCTTAAGAGCGGCCCCACAAACTTACAAGAATAGATAAACACATTTTATTCTCAGCCTGAACGAAAAAAATTGTAAGTGTTGAATTGTTTGCAAAAAAATTGTACAAACATGAAAAATTTCGATTTATTTATCAACAGAACTATAGTAGAGCGCGCGCGAATGTTTCATATTTTTAAAAACTGCAGATTAAAGTGACGAAGTTTAGGAGTTATTATCTTTTTTGAACATCGTCTTCATTTTTCTTTGTCCTCGAAAAATGCGATTTTCCAACCTGGTCGATACGTTTTCGTTCTGCCAGTTCTCGAACAGTCGAAGCATTCTGCAGAAAATCGATATTTACTGCTGGAAGGATTCCTCCGGCTATCTAAAATATTTATTGCATTGCTTTAACACGCGATGTACGGTTGCAAATCTGGTCGCTGGTAAATTCTTAACAGGACCAATCATACCGCAAGAAATGGAGGCCACATCGTTGTACGTAATTTATGAACCGGATCACGTAAACATCTGATTCGTTTAAATCATAATATGTAACGTTCTGCTCCATCCTTCTCTCCAACTTTCTCGTTTCCGTGAAACTAATACTGACGCAAGAATAAAATAATTTGCGTTGCCTGAATTTTCATACCAATGTTTCATGAACGTAAAATATTTCGATCATGTAGAAGCTCGGGATACGTTCCGCGAGTGTAATTAAATATTATTTAGAAAATGGATGTCTTTAAGAAATTTTATTCACGTCACCTTTACTTCGCATCGTTTTCGCGTTCTGTCAACATTCCGACGAACCGTCGAAAATTTCCGAAGGAATTATCATTTTCGAGAGACGTTGACTCGTGTGAAATTACTTGAAGAAATATTAACTCAAGGGACGAATGTTTGTTTCGCAGCCCTGGACGTCAAGCCATCTAATATTAGAATATGGATCCACAATCGAGATATCGGCAAACTACAGCAGGTTTTATGGGAAGGGCACGGAAACAAATTGCGCAGGGAGACCAGCAACAACCCACGCGTGAAAAGGTTCTTGGAAGCTGTGCCATTTATCATGGTTTGTATTGTATTGTATATTTCCACCTATATATCTCTATTAACACATTAAAGGCGGGAGTCGTAGTACTACGATTTATCTCGACTTCTTATAAATATGTACTTTAAAACATTTTTTGTAATTAGTGTTTAGTTCTTTTAGTTTTAAGAGTTTAAATAAACTTTTTTAAGTCTAAATTTTTTTATGATTACACAAAATATCGCCCGCTCTAGGACGAAAAACGAGGCGGGGCGGTCGCTGCGTTACCTAGCATACTTTCGTCAAGATCCCCCGCCTTTAATGTGTTAAGATTACTTCAATATTCGAGCCGTTTATTTTGAAAGTGGCATAAGTCACTTTACCGTGATGAAAAGTGGTGATTTTTTAATGTTTATACGAAATTATTTATACTGAGAAAAATATCAGTACCCTGAGATAACAAATACAAGTAAATCTTCTCGAAAGTTAGCATCCATATTTTTGAACGTGTTAAAACGCAAACCCTTAAATATATCGACTTAAAAACAAAGTGACTTACGCCACTTTCAAAATAAACGGCTCATTTGTCGTAGATTAAAAATCCGTCATCCGAAAATATTCAAATCGTAGATATGCAGCACACGAACTTAAATCCTTGACAAATAAAATAATGTCTCCAACGTTCTCTATAGGGCACCGTAAAAGAGGTTCACACATCAGCAGTGCAAAACGACATAGAGGAACTTCGGAAGAAAATAGACTCCACTTCGCCCATTGTTCTTTGTAGCAAAGATTGCAATGGTTTAAACGTCCTGCATAAGGTACATGCAAAACTTACGACGTCCAATAATTCAAAGTTACGAAGATTGAAATGTTGTCAAAGAAACATGAATTAATGAAATGTTGTCGATACGATAGGCCGCTGGATTGGGTCTCACAGAAATGACCCGGGAGATCCTGTCGACGTATCCTTCGGTCGTGGAAGCGCAGGACAACGACGGCAAGACGGCGTTGCATTATGCAGCTTCGGTGAAAGATGATGATTTGTACAACTTGTTAACGGAGTATGGGGCCGACGAAAGCAAATTGGACAATGTGAGTGGAACAATATCGATCGGAAAGTGATTTTACGAATATCAAAATTGGTTGGAAGGTATAGTTAAGATCAAATTCAAACAGTTAAGACAGATGAAGTCAAAATAATGCAATGTGTGTGTGATAAAAACAATACTTTTCTTGCAAGTGCCGAGAGAAATGATTCGACTGAAAGTAAAATATTGAACGCAACAATGTACGACAAATTGTCTTATATTGTTCATATAAATTGTCTTTTAAGTGATACATTCAATTTTGGGAACTGTAAATCCATTTTCTCAAATATTTTCTACTAATATTCGTAATTTTAATATTTTCATTCGCGACGCCGATTTAATCGGTTTTATAAGGTTTTATTAATTAATATATTATTCCTCGATCAGAGATCAAAGGCTGCAGCTTTCTATAAGAACCGACCTTCGGATATAGATCAAACACTTCTAACAGTAATACCGGAAGCACCTCGTGTTTCCGGAACGTCGTATCCTAAACATTGGGACTGGAGGATCTTGGAAGCTGAGGTTCCAAGAGGGATGAAGAAGGCTGTCAGTGCGGATATTGACAGTGCATTTGGCAGTGCCGAATCTGCTTCGAAGAAATACAGTAGATCCATGGAACAGGTATTATCGAACTGCTTCGAATGCATTTCTTCTTGTAGCGGAATTAAATCTCCTCAAATATTACACCTTTCTACAAATTGGATCTCTTCGATCACGCTACATCTCTCGATAAAAACCATCATGTATTCTCAATTCGGATACTATACACTTGTTAGTAGACTGCAGATTTTATGCATTTACGATCAAAATGACTAGCTGCAACATCAACTAACGACTTATTAAAATCATCGAAATAAGAAATACATTTTTTATTTGACTTCTGTTCCTTAAAATCGATCCAACAAAATTCTAATTCACACTAAGTTCCGCAATCTACTTATTAGTTCCTGTTATTACCGAAACAACTTTACTGTGTAAAACTTTACTGAAAGCTTTTTATTGTTTTTAGTCGAACAAAGTTCGGTACATTTTCGAGCGCGAAATTAACGAGTCGTTTTGGAACAGATAAAGCGAGCAGAGGGCGATCAGAAAGGAGAGGAGTCAGAAAACGTCGAAGGGGCGGACGCCGAAGAAGGTGTTGAGCAGGCTGAGGAAGCTGCGGAGGAGGAAGAGGCAGCCGAGAACGAAGAGAACGCCGAAGCTGCAGAAGATGCAGAGGCTGCGGAGGAAGCCGGCGAAGAAGCAGAGGCTGAAGAAGCAAAGGCTGAAGAGGCAAACGAAGAACAAACGGAAGAGGCAGCAGCGAATCCTGATGAAGCGGAGGAGAAGTCCTCGGACGACGATGTGGTAACAGGTGCGCCAGCGGAGGAAGCGGAAGAGGCCAAAGAGGAAGAGGAACCTGAAAATGCGGCTGAGGAAGAAGAGGCCAAAGAGGACGCGGAACAGGAGGAAGAGAACAAGGAAGAGGAGCCTGAAAATCCAGAGCCTGAGGCTGAAGAAGAAGAAACCAAAGAGGACGACGCGGACGCTAAGCCGGAGGAACAAGAGGACGAGAACAAGGAAGAGAGGAACGAGCCGAGCACCGGCGACTCCGGGGTCGATGATCCAGCGAACGACGAAGACCAGGTACGGTCGTCATAACACTTAAAACGAGTCCAGTTTCAGGGACTTGGTCGGCTGACACGCACACTCATAATTACACAGGGATAACTAAACTGTGGAGCAAATAGGTACGTCATGTTGTCGATGTATATGTAAGTTAAGAGGGAACGCAACGACGATGGCAACCATTTTGTAGACTAATCAGGTCCAATTAAAGTGTCTGCATCTTTGTCGGAATATGATTGTGTATTATTTGTAAACTTGTGGAAGTAATTTATACGAAAATACCGCGGTTAATTTAATTCTGTTCGATTCTCTTGAGGATTTTCTTTAATTCAGACCACTAAATCGACGCGTAGAGTTTTACCTACTTCTGGATGAATTAGCACTATTATATATGGTGTAAGTCCATTAACTTTAAAATCGAAGTAAACAAGGATTTTGCAAATTAGCCGTAAAAATAATAACAATGCTGCGAATGATAATCTTTTCACTTTAATTCTTTTCTATAATACTTTCTTTTTTAAATTTTGTTCAGTCATTCCGTGATCAATACAAGTGCTGCTATCTATTGTTTATTTGCGAATCCTCGTACAGAAAGGTTCGTGTAGAACAATTAATTGAAACGATCGGTTGCGAACGAACAAATGAAATTCTCTGAAGCTCTCAACGTGGTGTTCCTTCTTAACGAAACTGTGAAAGTAGTAGCGAACTGAACCACCGAAACGTCGATTCGAGTCCGACGAGCGATCGACAGTGGTAACAAAAGTGTACCAGGATGGTTGTCGTTGTGAAACTACCGAATATTATGCAGTATGTTCTTTGTGACGCACAAATATATCAATAAATAAATGACTGAACGAAAGACCTCTGTTATGTGACTTTTGAACAGTCCCACGAACACGTAGGCGGCTTTTAGAACGGTTTACACTCGTTTCACTCTCTCTCTCTCTCTCTCTCCAACGATTTCTTTCTACACTTTCTTTCCACCGTGGCAGATTAGCTTGCCTCGACTTTTCTTTAATCAGCTGTTCGGTTACTGAACGATATACAAGCTTGCAGAAACGATATGAATACGACGCGGCAACCGTGGACGCATTCGAAACCGTTTCAACGAAACTCGCTCGACGAAAGCTTCGTCCTTTGCACGTGGTCGTGATGAACGGAAGAAGATTTTCGAATTAGATCAGCCGAATACGACGACGGATGATAGAGGCGATTAGAGAAACGCGTTAGATCCGTCACGTGACTTTGATCGATCGAGGAACGACCGAACTAGACGCGCACACACGCATCGGCACGCAATGTAGGCACATAGAGAGACGAACACACCGCGGCGATCGATTTCGTAGATTGCCGCGCGCGATTAATATTTTCACTATTGATTGGCACGTGCGCATGGTTTCCCACCTGTACATGATCGGCAGGTGATCGCCGGCGAGCACGAGGAACTTCCGGACGCAGAGCTAAACGAGGCAAGCATGTCGGCGGACCCGGAGATCGAGAAGCTGATGGAGAACGGGAACATGGAGCAATTAGCGACGTTGGTCCTCAACGGCGAAGGCAGAAGACTCGTCGGCAGACACTCCAAGAATCCCGAGCTCCAGGCTTTCATCGATCGAGTTCCATCGTACATGGTATTACGTTCTATTCGTTCGCCGGACAAACCTTTTTTCATACCCGCTCACCTTTCCCTAAGCATTAGAATTCATTTTAATCAGTGCGAATCGCGACTCTGATTACAGTTCCTTTCTAACGACGCGATTATTGCTACCTGTTTATACGCAGAACTGGGCTAATTTTATTTGATATTCAATTTCAAGTAATTTATTTCAGACGATTGTTTCAACATAAAAATAATATCGACTCGTTTGAGGTGAAGCGATTCCAAAAAATAAATTAATTCGTCGTTTTTTTATTTCGTATTGGCCAAATGAATTAATGCTGAAATTAATAAGGAACAAAGATTTTATTTTATGAAATCGTTGGAACAATTTGTTCAAAGCGAAAAGGTGTAAAGCAGCCCCGTACATTAAATTTAACTTTGTAATTATTTCAAATGATTATAAAATAAAATAACATCTTATTTATTGTTTTCTTTTCTGTCACACGTTGAGAACCGCGCCGGTCATATACATATGTATGACACTAATTTTTGACTGTGTAGTTTTAATCATTCATTTCAAGTGAATTTTTCCGGAATATTTAGGAAGCAGAAGAGCTCAAATGCGACCCACTATGATAACATTTTAACTTTTGAAAACAGTTTAAGCTGCGATGATTAAGTGGCTTTGATATTGTGGAGATTTTTGGGGTTGACTTTCGGCGTGGTAATGATCCAGCAACGTACCTATGCGGAGAGAATTTCTTGCGCAGTTTCGAAAGTTGTTAATTAATTCAGGGACGACTGGTTGCTCGTTGGTTTTAATGTAGCATATTTGCTCTTTATCGAAGTCGCACTGTTGCGGTTTAAATTAGTTGTTGTGGACATTGTATCGTTACTTTTGAAGGATACGAGTAGGAAGTGTATACAATATGTACGTGCGTTTGTGTGTGTGTGATTCGTGCGCAGTAGCGTAAATAATTCACGTAGATTATCTCTTTCCTTTGACAATTTATATTGCAAAACTGTGTCGTTCAAAGATATTCATCTACTTCAGACAAGATTAATTGTCCCAGATCATCTCGTAAATGATGGAAATTCACTTTTACATTCGTTTTAGGTATAGTTCCTTTGGAAGGTGAAATACATCGATACGATTGCAATCGCGTTAATGCATTGCACACTTTTCTGCACTTTCTGTAACTTCTTCGTGAAACATACATGTAGAAAATCAATGTTGCGTATTATCGTTTTGCATTTCGCGTTTGTATTTCGAAATTTGAATTACTTACGAGTTGATCTCATGTTTTTGTATTGCGTTGCATTCGTTCATTAAAGAATGAAATACGAAGTTTGATATCTGGTTACAAAATGAAGAAAGTGTTAACTATTTTTTTACACTTTCAGGGTAAAATTCACGCCGTGCACATGGCAGCAAGAGAAGGAAATCTGAGGGATCTACAAAGTGCATTGGATCGCCGCAAGTTTGCAGTTGCAAGGGACGGATCGTCCCCGCGTGGATCTACGCCGCTTCACGTTGCAGTTGTATTTGGAAACACCACTATCATCAGGTACAGAGATAGAATTTGTAAGAAAATAACAAACTGTAAGAACATACTTTTTACTCTTGGAGTACTTGTCGTAATGCACGGACACATAGAACAAGAGTTGAATTTTTATGAATTATCTCAAAACAATTCTCCCGAGAAATTTAACTGATCATGACCTTCGAGATGTATTTTAATTACATTTTACAAAGTCATAGATCATAAGTAGACTACGGATTCTTATGCAAAATAAAGATTGTCTACATTTGTTGTAAAATTCAGAGGTCACTTAGAAACTTTTTGCCTTTCTTCAATAATTATAATAGGTTGAAAGCAGTGTATTGGTGATCTTTAATTCTTTTACTCTTTCTTCTTTTTAAAATTACTTAAAAATTTCTCTTTAAAACCCTTAAAAATTTCTCTTTAAAACTCTTAAAAATTTCTCTTTAAAATTATTAAATAAAATTAACACCAAAGTACATATTGATAGTCATCGTGCAAATGAAACTAATCTATCTTATGTTCACAAATGCATTATGTTCACACTCTGCTTTAACAAGTACAAATGTAGGTTTCAGTTTATTGTTTATTTAGTGAATTTATTCGTTATAGAATCGATTTGTCGAGAATTCCATTCTTTAGAGTCTGAGGTTTGGATTAATCTTTCCGAGCTAGATTGCACTATTGGCAAACTACGTTTTCCTTGTCCCCATTGGTTTTATAAGTTTCTTCCCTAGGAGTCTAGACGAACGAAGGGGAAGGAGCCGCGTCACCGTGACAAGCTCCAATCAAGTTCCATCGATTCACGTTTATTCTATTAATGTTTCATGTTTCGTTTAGGTATCTGGCAGGCAGGTTTCCAGAAACCACAAACGCGATCGATCTAGACGGCCGAACGCCCTTGCACTATGCGGCAACACTCGCAGACAACGGCCATTACTACAACCTTCTGCTGCATTTAGGTGCAAATCCTCAGATGCAAGACAACGTGAGTAAAATACTTTTAAAAATCATTTACCAGCAACACACGAAATTATCGATCCGATGAATTTTATCATGCAAAGTGCAAAACGAAAAATTCTTATCTGAACTCCAATACATTCAGTTTCCAACGATTTATACTCTGTCTCGCTTATTTTACAAGATAATAAAATAGTTATTATATTATATTTATAATAGAGTCTTCGTTTGGCCCTTCGCGGTTTGAGTATCTTAATTATTTAGTAGATTATCCTAAAAATTTGGTAGGTGAAATAAAGTTTAATATAACGTGTTAAGATGTTTAAAGAGAGAAAATGAAAAGGGGGTTGGAAGAGAAATATTGTTACGTTAGCGAATTTATTCGTTTTGGTTACGTAGTTCGGGCAAAAGGCTGACTATTACAAGCAAGACCAATCAGAATTCTCACATAAATCATTACTCCGTGATTTCGGAGCGAACGAGAGCCTCGCCGACGAAATGTTGACTGACAAAGGTACCTCATTCAAACGTGACACCTACAAGCACCATTAACACCAGACAAAACTGTACGATGATCGTTCAGAGCACTATCAAAATGATCACTGCATATCTTTCTTTTGAAACCATGTACTCAAGTTCCAATTATATTTATAGTACGATCACGTTGCTTCTTCACTTTTTATCCCCGCGTAACATTGCCACACGGTCACGAAATATAACGATCGCATAGCAAACCTGTTCAAACGATTATTCAAACAGAATAATCATACCGATATTTTGAAACATTTCGAAGACTTTGTGCAACTTCCCTGAACCTTCCTTAATTTCCTCGAATTCTTCATGCACCGAGGCACGATTATTGGAAGTAAAAGTCGAGAGAAGTTCGGATGACTATTTGGGTCTAAAGCTGTGATACTTAAAAATAATTTAAAAGGAATTTTCTTTATTTGTACAAACAATTTTATCGCTTGCTTCAGAGCTTATGAACTACAGACGCGTTTTTATACACACGATGTATAGCTGCCACCCCCCCACTTTACTGATCCATTAAATTGTCACCTTTCTATGTCACCCTCCGTCGACTATGAACTGTCATGTGGGTATGTTTAAATGTTCATAACATTTTACACCAACACCTTCACCTTCGTATCTGTGCTAAAAGTGGAAAAGTTGTCATCTTCAATGTACGATTGTACCTTAGTTACGACTAGAAAACAAGTTTTTTGTAAAGGTATTTTGGAATTGAATTCACTGCTCGTCGAAGAAATAGTGAAATATTTTTCAAAGTTAGTGTCAGTTTTTTAAAATATATATATTATTCGACTTTCTAAATAACGCTATTATTAAATGAAGAAACCACTGAGTAGAGAATTTTGTTGATATTTATGAAATTTAATAAATCTCAGATTTCATTCAACGTAGCAATAAAAACTATAACAGGGAACAAGAACTTTTGACTATTTTAAAACACAAAAACTTACGAAAAAGGTTCGCAGAGTTGTACAACTCGCAACAGTGTTAAATTATCAGTAAAAATAAGATTGCAGATAGCAACTGAGTATTCCTGAAAACTAGACAGCGTTTGACAATCAAACGACATCTTGACCACTTCTTGCACAGCACCTGCATATTCTATCGAAACTATTCTCACCAGCTGGAAATACCAAAAATCGTTAAAACGTAGTTCTTCCTGAAAGCCGCTGCACAAACCTCCCAGTAGCTCTCAAACAACAGTAACCCGCTAGCACCGCCAGAAAATAAGACACCGTTAGATCCAAAAATGTCACCGAGCTTCCGTCCTCTGTGATCAGTCGCAACCAACCCTGTCAGTCCCGACCCACCGCAACGCCGCCCAGAAACCTCCTGATTAACGAATCCTCGGCCTTTCACGTTTCGCTGATCGTCTACCTCCCGGACACCCGGTGTTCCGAATGCTCGAGGCGAACAGTACCCGGAGGCGACACGGTCTCAGCTCGGCGAGACATAACCGAGCCGGAGACCCTAGCTACCCTGGAGCGGTGTTTCCGGCTCCTGGCCGGCTCAAAGTACTACTACACCGGACTGAAATCAGCGGGGAACTCTGGTACACTGATCAACCGTTGCCTGAAACGGCCCGTATTCGATCGTATCAAGCACCGTGTGACACGCATGGACCACAACCTGTTTGATGTGATCTGGCCCGCTTTAAAGAAGCACGGCACCTCGAACGGCGGCAGCATGGTCAGTAGCTCCTACTCGACCGTCAGCAGCATGTCCGAAGAGAACGACACGGTGTCGGTCGTGGCGCCGGACTACGAGAGCTACACCGTCTTCATGGAGTTCTTCGACCCTTTGATCAGGGACATCCACTGCGTGACAGCCAGCGGCGACCTGCCCGATCATCCTCTGCCAAGGTTCTTCCTGCCGGAGGACGACAACAGGATAGAGACGATCGACAACATCGACGACGCCACCATAGCTTCGATCGAGACCTACGACCTCGACGTCCAAGCGAAGTACGTTCAAGCAGCGACGATAGAGTGCTGCAGGAACTTGGAGAAGTACCCTTTCCCGCTTACTCTGACCGTGAACCAACTGGAGGATGTGGAGCGTGTCATCACCACCGAGCTGCTGAGTCCGGACGTGTCGGGAATAATGGCGGAAGGTAGCAGCGAAGACGAGCCAGGGACCTATTTCACGCTGAACGAGATCCTAGATCAACCGAGTCCGATCAGAGCTCAATTGGCAGCAGCCGGATTGCTGTTGCCGATCACAGACTTCAATCTGCACGACGAGAAACGACTTCACGGCAGACATTGGCCCTACGGCAGAGGCGTCTACGTGGCTTCGGCGGGCGACGTGGCCGCCTGGGTGAACGTGCAGGATCATCTGAGGATCATTTGCAGAACCGGCGACAACAGGCCAGGTCTGATAGGCCGCGCCTACGTGAGGCTGGCGAAGATCATGGTGATACTCGACGAAGCGCTGGAGTTCAGAAGGGACACGAGATTAGGCTACCTGAGCTCGAGGCCCTGCGCCGTCGGCAACACTCTGAGGTTCAGCATGATCATACGGTTCCCAGAGCTGTCGAAGGAGTACGAACACCTGAAGCATTTGTGCGTGGTGCGGGGACTGAACATCCGCGAGACGCCGAGGCACGACACCGTCAAGGTCTGCAACCAGCAGTCCTTGAGCATCACCGAGATCCAGACGCTGCAGGACTTCGCCAGGGCGGTGTCGAACATCCTGGCGTTGGAGAAGGAAGTGGGGATCAACAATTCCATGAAAATCGCGAATCTGCTCGCGGGAATATTCCGAAAACGTAGCAGCGCGAAACGTTTTCAGAATTGACTGGATTCGAACCGATCGACGTGGGGTGGGATGAGGAGAGGAGGGGGGGAGAGGGAGCAACCATGTTTTTAATTCTACTCGTTGATTTTGTTGATATTGGTATGAATTACGCTTACACGAGGCAACCGTCTGTGATAACTATCGAGCCAATATACATATACGTTTTTACTGCCAATTCGTTTACCTAGATGATAGGAGGGGGGAGGAGCGTTGGAAAGATGTGCGTGAACGTTACTCTCTATTTCTCGTGCATCGCGACACGATCTAGTCGAACCGAATTAACGTCCGAGTGGAAAACGCTGGACTATTAATTAGGTTAGTAACAAAACCAGTTGATTCAAGTTGATCCTGCAATCGTCGGCGACGCTTCGATGTACGCCGTCGCACGGCACCATGCTTACGTGAATTGTGTGTAAGATGGATCTGTTCAAATTGATTGTTCCACCGTCGCAGTGTTTCGGGAGAGAGTTCCTTTATGATCAGAGCTTCTTTATGTGTCACGCACGAGTTCGATGTTCACAGAAACAGAGATTGCGTAGCACATGTCTTTCCAACTCAATGTTCCGAATAATGAATATTTGTATCGATTACTAACGCCGCGTGCATCCTTGCATATACGGGCTGTTCTGTAACTGATGATTAGATCGCGGATCTACGCGCGGAATGGAAATTGTCTGCGTCGATTGCAAGACGTGGGAGCCGATCGCAAGTTTTTTCTCGTTCATTAATCATTTTAATAAGTTCGAGTTAATACGTTGTTAGCATCCTTGAATCTATTCACTGTTTCAAATCAAAGCTACTCAATTTTGCCACACGTGTCTAAGATCCACGGTCCACCGATGACTGTACAAACGAATAAATCGAGTTTTATGAACGGTCATCAGAACCGCAGGAAAGATTCTTCGTTTTCGTGGGATTCGTTCTTCTCTTGGAAGATGAAAACACTTCGAATCGAAAGTACTTTTGTGCGTCTTCGAACTCGTTGGAACTTGTTAAACTCGTCGTCCAGGATCATCATCATTTGATCATCAGTTACAGGATCGTTTAACGGGTACTTTTGTGTACCATCTCGAGACTGACCGATCTTTGTGATATCAGTGTGTGTATATGTGCTCGTGCAAATCGTGTATCATCTTGTGTGAGTAAAGCAAAGCATTTAGTGTATGTTTTTACACTGTTTACAGAACGAGATGCCTGCACTGTGTCGTGTTCCGCATGCATTTTAAGTTCGTTGATTTCCGTTTACTGTTTGTCTGACGCTTCCATGTCAACCGCTGAGAATCACTGAAACGTTTTGATATCAGAATTCGGGTGCATATAAATTCAATGAATGAACGAATGAACGAATCGAGGAATATAACGTAGCGTTTACAGGGTTTATTGTTGTTTCCAGATGATCAGCAATTGGAAATACCGATATTTAGAGAAGAGGAGGGTCGATACTTAGCATCGTGTACGTAAACGTTGATTTAGACCCGAACTTGAAGTTAATCGGGACGATAACGATTTTGTTTCATGCGGATTATTTGATTAGCTCTCGGCGATCCATTGTTGAAAGGCTTAACGGAAGTGGCTAACGCGCGGCCAAAAGATCCGGTCACTTATCTGGCAACGTATTTGTACAATTTCGCCAATAAAACGAAGAACGATGAACAAGAGGAGGTAATTATTCATAATGATTCATTTCACGCGACGATTAGATTGCGGCCTTTATGCATTTTTCTTGAAAGTGATTAGATAAAATTCAACGCTTCAAACGCGATCAAAGAACCCCAAACATGTTACTAAAATTACATAAATTTCGATTTTTATGTCTTTTACGATTGGTTTTTGAGAAAGTTTGGTTTGCAAGATCCACAGATCTACTGATAATTTATTGAAACTGTGTGCAAACAATTTTGCAGGAGGCTAACGTTTTAATTATCCCTGAACGCGAAGAGGGGGTAGTAGAAGATGGTGAAAATGAGAATCCTGATGACGATGCCGGTTATCCGCAGAGTCCAGGCTCTGACGTGCCGGAATCAGCTTTCAGCAACCCTAACAGAGTACGTTCATCACGAATCATTTCACTTCTTCGGTGATAGGTAACTGTTGTGTGCAAAAGAGATGGTTATTTTGAAAATCGTTCATTTTTCTAGGATGAACATGGACAAAGCGTCGTCCATTTCGCAGCGATTCGTTCTTACGCGAAGGATGGCCTGTTCCATCTCCTTCAGGAAAGCCAAGTCAATATTGGATTCAGAGACGAATTGTATAGGACTGCAAGAGATGTCGCCGAATTGGCAAATATTAGAGAAAATGTCGAGGAAATTAACCGTTACGTAGCTTACTTGGCAGCCAGAGGTGAGGAATTATAGATTAACGCATAATATAACGATAATTATGTTGTGGCTATTAGTGATGAATTTTCTAAGTAGAAGAAGAATATAGAAAAATACAGTAGAATATAGTAGAATGTATAGTAAAATATAATACTGGTAGATTATAGTAGAATGTATAGTAAAATATAATACTGGTAGATTATAGTAGAATATAGTACTAGTAGCATATACTAGAATATAGTAGAATATAGTAGAATATAATAGAATATAGTACTAGTAAAATATAATAGAATATAGTACTAGTAAAATATAATAGAATATAGTACTAGTACAATATAATAGAATATAGTACTAGTACAATATAGTAGAATATAGTACTAGTACAATATAGTAGAATATAGTACTAGTAGCATATACTAGAATATAGTAGAATATAGTAGAATATAATAGAATATAGTACTAGTAAAATATAATAGAATATAGTACTAGTAAAATATAATAGAATATAGTACTAGTACAATATAATAGAATATAGTACTAGTACAATATAGTAGAATATAGTACTAGTACAATATAGTAGAATATAGTACTAGTAGCATATACTAGAATATAGTAGAATATAGTAGAATATAATAGAATATAGTACTAGTAAAATATAATAGAATATAGTACTAGTAAAATATAATAGAATATAGTACTAGTACAATATAATAGAATATAGTACTAGTACAATATAGTAGAATATAGTACTAGTACAATATAGTAGAATATAGTACTAGTAGCATATACTAGAATATAGTAGAATATAGTAGAATATAATAGAATATAGTACTAGTAAAATATAATAGAATATAGTACTAGTAAAATATAATAGAATATAGTACTAGTACAATATAGTAGAATATAGTACTAGTACAATATAGTAGAATATAGTACTAGTAGCATATACTAGAATATAGTAGAATATAGTAGAATATAATAGAATATAGTACTAGTAAAATATAATAGAATATAGTACTAGTAAAATATAATAGAATATAGTACTAGTACAATATAGTAGAATATAGTACTAGTACAATATAGTAGAATATAGTACTAGTAGCATATACTAGAATATAGTAGAATATAGTAGAATATAATAGAATATAGTACTAGTAAAATATAATAGAATATAGTACTAGTAAAATATAATAGAATATAGTACTAGTACAATATAGTAGAATATAGTACTAGTACAATATAGTAGAATATAGTACTAGTAGCATATACTAGAATATAGTAGAATATAGTAGAATATAATAGAATATAGTACTAGTAAAATATAATAGAATATAGTACTAGTAAAATATAATAGAATATAGTACTAGTACAATATAGTAGAATATAGTACTAGTACAATATAGTAGAATATAGTACTAGTAGCATATACTAGAATATAGTAGAATATAGTAGAATATAATAGAATATAGTACTAGTAAAATATAATAGAATATAGTACTAGTAAAATATAATAGAATATAGTACTAGTACAATATAGTAGAATATAGTACTAGTACAATATAGTAGAATATAGTACTAGTAGCATATACTAGAATATAGTAGAATATAGTAGAATATAATAGAATATAGTACTAGTAAAATATAATAGAATATAGTACTAGTAAAATATAATAGAATATAGTACTAGTACAATATAGTAGAATATAGTACTAGTACAATATAGTAGAATATAGTACTAGTAGCATATACTAGAATATAGTAGAATATAGTAGAATATAATAGAATATAGTACTAGTAAAATATAATAGAATATAGTACTAGTAAAATATAATAGAATATAGTACTAGTACAATATAGTAGAATATAGTACTAGTACAATATAGTAGAATATAGTACTAGTAGCATATACTAGAATATAGTAGAATATAGTAGAATATAATAGAATATAGTACTAGTAAAATATAATAGAATATAGTACTAGTAAAATATAATAGAATATAGTACTAGTACAATATAGTAGAATATAGTACTAGTACAATATAGTAGAATATAGTACTAGTAGCATATACTAGAATATAGTAGAATATAGTAGAATATAATAGAATATAGTACTAGTAGAGTATAATAGAATATAGTACTACTAGAATATAATAGAATATAGTACTAGTAGAATATAATAGAATATAGTACTAGTAGAATATAGTAGAAAATAGTACTAGTAGAATATAATAGAATGCACAACACGTAAGACGATGCACCAATTTATTAAAGATTTGTTTCTGATAATGCTTGCCATTTTGTTTCTAACTTAATACGTTCCTAAACACAGGCGAAACCGAAAAGCTAGTGGAATTGTTACTGGAAGGATACGACCACATTTTGGACATCGAAGACGGAGGTGTGAATATTGTGGATATCGCGGCTGAACGAGGACGAGATGCAACCGTGCAATTTCNTATAGTAGAAAATAGTACTAGTAGAATATAATAGAATGCACAACACGTAAGACGATGCACCAATTTATTAAAGATTTGTTTCTGATAATGCTTGCCATTTTGTTTCTAACTTAATACGTTCCTAAACACAGGCGAAACCGAAAAGCTAGTGGAATTGTTACTGGAAGGATACGACCACATTTTGGACATCGAAGACGGAGGTGTGAATATTGTGGATATCGCGGCTGAACGAGGACGAGATGCAACCGTGCAATTTCTGCAGTCCATACCAAATTACGTGGTAAGATATCAAAATATCAACTAGATTTATAATCGATGTCAAACAATACATCTATTGATAGCTCGGATGTATTTGCAGACACAACGCGAGGAAGTGCATCACGAGATTCGAACAGGCAATACCGAAAGGGCGAAGGAGTTGCTGCATAGGAACAATGGGGGTGGAAAGTTGTTAGCGATGGGGAAGAATCCAATGAGCAGATGCGCCCTTCACATTGCTGTTCTTCGCGAGAACGAGGAACTGGTCGAATTCATTGCCAAAATGTATCCAGAAACTCTGCGAATCGGAGACAACGTAAGTGTAATCAATCTCAGTAATTATTATGAATCCCTATGCAATACTAAATGCTCGTGCAATGTTAAAAATTGTTACAATAAAATTGATACTTACAATGATAGTAGAAAATTTAACCTCTGCTCGCTGCTCGAAATTTGTCCTTTTCTTATTCACACTCGCGTTCACAAAACTGTTCGAATTAGTGATCACACGAAAGAGGTAATTAATACGTAAATAAAAATATTCAATATTATATTTAATATTATATATTATATATATTATTATATATATTATATATAATATTATTATGTTATTTATATGTATATATTCGATATTGAATAAGGAGTAAATATATTGAATATTGAATGATGAATAAAAATATTGAATATCGAATAATAAATAAAACAAAAAGCACTGTCACGAAACCGTCGCTCACAAAAATTGGGCAACCTGCGGCTTTCTGACTCTACGTCGCAGATATCATTCCATTATGGTTGCGATGAATCCACGAAAGGCAAGATCAATTGAATTGAAACAGTACACACACGTTTTATTCTTATAGATTCACGTTTTTCCCACATTTGGTATAGTAGTACAATTCATTCGAAATATTTGACGCCATTTTCACGAACCGTAACATCGTGATTACGCAAAGATTTTGAAGGGTCGCATGCAAACTGCGAATTTTATGCATTCGAAGTAGTAAAACACAATGTCGATGGAAATCATAGATGTTATAAAAAGCATTGCTATCGTTCCTTAAAAACTCGGTGCATATTTGAGAAAAGCGTTCTCTGTTTTCCAGTTGGAGAGAACCGCTTTACATTACGCAATGGGCCTGGAATCGGTCGAACAGTTGAGCAACATTCTGACCAAGGCGGGTGCAAAACGCACCATCAAAGATCTGGTAATTAATTTGATCGCTGTTCTCTCGGCCGTGAGACGACACTAACGAAATAACCATAATAATTTTCGTATCAGAAATCACGACAACCTTCCTACTACTTCATGAACAAGTCCGAGATCGAGAGGCTTCAAGAAGAAGAGGAACGTCTGCTGAAGTAGACGCGGCCGGACGATGCTGACCCGCGTTTCGGTCATTTTGCTTGAACGTGCAGTTCCGATCGAACGAATATTCTAGGTCAGTTAACAGGGAGACGCATGAATACGACAATGTGCCACTTTATTCTGTGTATTACGACTACTATTGGACTTCGTTTCTCAAGACACGTCTGGTACAACGAACGGCTAGAAGCTACTATCCGTAACCCCGTGTAAAAAAAAAGAGATAAACAAAAAGGATAAAGAGACGATGGTTTTGTATAACGTACCGACGTCGCATAATGTATATATATGATACAGTGTTAGCGATAGAAATACTAAATAAACGAAACAAAAAAGAGGATATTTCTTGCGTATACACGTGTCCTTTGAATGTAATAGCTTCGCGTTCTGATCCTCGTCAATCCACTCTCTTCACGTCGTCAACACAATGGTCGCAGATCCTCGGTCGTCTTCGGGTACGTAGACTGCTCGTTGATTCACGGTAAAGAACAAACAAAACGAAGTCTAGGCGAAGGTTGTGTAGCGTACAAAGTGTATCTGCTACGAAAGTAAGATTATTTATCGGGATAGCTACTATACAAGTCATCGTTCTAACGACGTGACCCGTGCAAGGATCGTTCTGGCCCCTAACACAGCCACGAGTCTGGAACCCGAAACGGAACATTTAATCGTTCGCCACCGTTTCGTCCGCGAGATACTTCTCCGAGATTCTACCTTGCCCTGACTGATCTTCGAGCCACAGAGTCCTCGGATTCTCATCTCTCGTTGACGTCCACATCACTGGTAATACGTGCTACTCTTTTTACTGCTATTCTTGGCCAGCTGGTTGTGCGTCATCCTGCCGTTCGACGTGCCCGCCTCGTCCACCTCGGGCTCGTCGACGATTCCCTGCCAGGGCGTCGGGTTCACGTACGACGGCTTCGCCTTCTGATGAGCTGAGAATTTTCAATCAATTTCAACGTCGTCCTCAAGTTCAACGAAAGGAGGTCATCTACAGTGCTGTGAATAATGATGAACTCAAAGTAACTTTTACATTTTTACCGATGTTTAAATAAAAAACCTGTATACTTTCATTTTCCGTTGTATCTAATATAGAACTATATGTTGTAAAGTTTGTTTGTTTTAAATATCACTGAAAATGTTTAAAATTATTCACACCGCTGCATGGCGAACGCAGCCGACGCCGAGCTCTATAAAAGATAGAGCAACATTTCGAAGATTTCGTCGTCAACTAACGCAAAAGTCCCTGTGTAGCAGGCTTAGGCTTGTTCCGCGCGTTCTTCCGCCAGACTTCGTAAGCCTTCGTGCTCTCCTCCAGCCTTTTCTTCTTCTCCTCGTCAATCTGCTTCTGCTTGATCGCCTCTCTCTTCTGACGAGCTACACGAACATCGGAGTCACGCGTTTTATGCGAATCAATGCGTGTCCAGTCTTCTATACCTTTCTCCTCCTCCTTCTTCTTGTGCTCCCACTGGCGAAGACAGAGGGTCTTCATCACGACGCTCTTGTCCTCGAACTCCTTCAACTTCTTCTGCATATCCAGCTCCTTAGCCGCCATCCGTTTCTTCCTCTCCTCCTCTTTCCTCTTCCTTTCGGTCCACCGGAGAAAATTCTCGCGTTCCCGTGCTTCCCGTTCCTCCTTCTCGCGAGCCAGCCTCTCCGCGTCCATCTGCCTTTTCCTCTCGGCCTCGTCGTCCTCCTCTTTCTTTTGTCGCGCCGCCTGCTGCTTCCTCCGCATCCACTCGCTGTACGGAATCTTCCTCAGCGGATCGTCCTTCACCGATCTGGCCTCCAAAACGCTGATGCTGGACAACGACGCTGTAGATACTTGCACGACTCGGTGGCCATTCAGAGTGAACCTAGTTTTAGGGGTTTGGACGATTCTTTTTACTGTTGTTCGATGTTTTGTTTCCGACGCTGACTAACAGAGGATGTTACCCAACTACAGAAATTCAAAAAGTTCTGAAACATTGGGGACACGTAGATACGCGATATATACTTTTTTCTTGCGTAAATTCACTTTAAGGGGCGGAAATTCACCCCCGAATGTTCGGCTATTTTTTACTTCATTTCTATAATTCGTAAACGGTTTAAGATAGAAAAAAAGTCTTCAAACAAAAGTTACTTATTTTGTACAAATCTACCATAACTGTTTAAACGAGTGGAAAAAGTTATGCAGAAATAATCGATATTTTCTTTTACTTCTTCACTTTTTAACGTCATGCAATATCAAGAAGTAATCTTAGCTATCAAATAATGCTGTTAAATTACAGACACTCGAAAGTACAATCACAGATCGAGCAAATTCAACGGTCCAAGATAAAAATTATCCGTATAATTGACGAAGTTGAATCAACTTCGAGATCGATGACGGGAAAGCTTAAGATAAGAAAGATCGTAAATTAGAAGTACCTCTGCACTTCCGAATCGAGCAATCTGGCGGAGCAAAGCTCGTCGTTTCCGTCCGCTCTGCCAACGATTCTGCACCTTCTCTCAACTCTGTTGGAGGGTCTACAGGAGACAACAGACTTGGATCGCGAAGGGCCATTATCCAGGGATGGGCCCGGTGAATTTAACGAGTAACAACGATACGTGTCCTGGATCGAAGCTTGATCGCCGGCGTGCTCCTCGAACGATGTCGCTAAATCATTCTTGATGGACAACGTGGACATTATGTCGCTCATTTCCGGAGAATCGCCGAAATTACCTTCCGCCAGGGCCCCGTTATCTTTCGAGCTGACCTTCACGCGAATCTCTATCTCGCGTTCCTCATCTTCGTGGTTCAAGGTCTCGGCGTAAATCGCTGGATTTATAAATCGGACTTCCGCGCTGGATCTAGAGCTCGGAGGAGTCGCGGTACGTTGAATCAGCCCATTGTTGAGGGGACTGTCCCTCTGACCAGCCAGCCGCAGCTCGTTCGAGGCGTTAACGTTAGGACCATTGAGCGTTTCGATAAAACCATCTCGTTTCCAATCGTACCATCTGTCAGAGTCGCTATCAACCATCGTCAAGTATTCTTAACCTTGACTCGGTTATTATACGATGTAAATTATAATCAGACAAAAGCGTGTAGAGATCGGGGCACGTCACATATCGTTGGCTTGCGATCCGATTCTTCGGCTAGCTAGCTCCGAGGAGTTCGGATAGAACTCACGGATGCACATCCATCCATCATCCACGCGATGTTGCACTTTTCGGCTCACAAAAAAATGACGAATCCCCTTAAACGGCGACGAATTGATCTCGCTGCGATTCGTCGATTTATTTGTCAGAGCCGTAGATCTCCCCGCACGATTCCGCGAGCTGATTTTGATAGTGACGAGGGTGTCGCCTTCGACCGGAAGGAACACCCTCCGTTAAGCGACTTCTGGCGAAGCTGCACAACCAAGATTCGACAGTGGTTTAGTTGATTCATTATGGATGATTTTCGCAATGCAAATAGATCACGCTCGGTGCCGATTGAAATTTCGAACACAGTGAGTTTTGCATGGAAAGCATAAGAATGATTTTTCCAACATTTCTATTTACTCGGGTCGTCCGATGACGAGTCGTAGTAACGCTGATAATTATTTGAACACCAATATTTTGCACTTTATTCGAAAATTTGAAATCTGCGCTAGGATAATTTTTGACGCAATTAAATTTTAGGTGACAATTGAAATTGTGAGGATAAAGATTATGATCCTTATCAGGAATTTACGATACTCGGCAAATGAATAAAATCACCTCGACGAATGTCAACAAGTTTTATATAGTATTATAATTATGCTGAGTTAAAAAATGATGCGCTAATTTTCCAGTGCAATTTTATCATCTCCACGAAATAATTAAGAGCGGCACTAATTGATTTTTATTTCTTGCAGGTAGTAAATACTAATACTAATTATTTATTTAAGCTAAAGTCTTTATTTGTTTTTTTTTTCTTTAAACTTATTATGTACCCTTATATTAACTTGTGCTTGTTCGACGTATCACTTGAATCTCGATTCAAAATGAATCGAGATCATACAGGAATTAGCGTTCAGTTGATATGAAGTTCCTTAAGTTCGATTCGGTTGCATTGTTCTGTCTGGCGGTCATCAGATATTCTTCTGTGATTTCCTCGGGTAGAACCTTATTGAAATACGTTTCGCGCTCCTGATGGACGTAATACGTGTCGTCAAAATTAAAGTGCATTCCGAGCACGATATTCAGTGCAGAAGTGTCGTATGCGTGGCAACCGGAGTACCGATATTGTGGTTTTTTATTAAATCGACAACCTGCCGATTGAGCACCTACAACAACGTACATGAATTATTTTTACGATTTGTCTATTTGAGATTGCATTAATCGGATGAACTTATTTGTAGCATACCTACCAATGGGACAAATGCAATCTCTTGTTAGGGCGCATTGAACCCATGGCAACATTACATTCTCTCTAATCTCTTTAACATTCCTAATAACTAAGTGTGATGCTCTTATTAAAGGGAGAAAGAAAAAACTTTCAGCAGAAACGTGAAAATATTCATACATCTTTGGATGCGTCAAGGAGCTAATGGCGTGCCTTGTAGGCCAAGTTAAAATCCCAGATTTCGGTGAGAGGTACTTTAAAATGTCTGACGAATTCAAACGCACATTCGAATCCATATATAATATGTTTCCTAATGTGTTTAAAGCTGTCTGCGATATATAAAAAGAGTATTACACTATTTTTATCGAGAGATCGTGTGTTAATTACTGTGTGCTTGTAGACACCTGGACAAGGCTCATTTGTTACCTGAATAACTAGAGGTCTATAAACATGCAGTCTATCGTCTTCGACGTGTGTAGGAAATGGGCTCGTGTCAAATTGAGTCACGTTACACTTTGTGGAGTTACAAGTTGCTCTAATATTTTGCAAAGAATCATCATTTAATCCAACGCTATAAATGACAATATTATTATTTGGCAAAAAGTGGCTGACATTTCTAACAAAGCCGTAAATATGCTGCTCGTTTCCTGGCCTTATGAGAGAAATAACAGTCACATTTTGTGATTTAAGACTATACGGTGTTGTGCTTGTTTGCCCATCTAAACCAAGCATCGCAAGATATTTAGAGTCTGTTACCAAGCGTTTCTCCTCAACATCTTTTAAATTTTCCTGAAAGAGTAAGGCATAAACATAATCATTATTATATGAGTTACTAAAATAGTCTAACACTGTTTTGCAGCAGTTGTTACTTACTTGGAAGTTACGTAGCTGCTTGTGAGTCTCTGTAACCAGAGTCTGAATGGAGGGTCGTTGACTGCTGAAAGCAATGAATATAATACTGCTCCCTGCTATGCAGATAAGGAACAATAGCAGGCCTCTGGTACGCATCTCTCATCATTTAATCAGATGGTTTTGCAGGTTTTAGATGACAATCACACTGATACTTTACGTTAGAAACATCGTACATAGGTTAGATACCTTCCGTGATATAATTAATCGTAATAAATTTAACGCAATAGTTAGAACAAGTTGCTGACAGCGAAACATCGAAGGCGTACATTATTTATAAATTGGTTATCAATTTCATATTACAGATTAATGCTTAAGTTTTTAGTACTGATTAGATTAAAATACACTCTTTATGATAACAACGCACTGTCAGTGCTCTAGCAGACGCCGCATTTCTAGGAATTATCTTGCGAAATGGTAGCCCTGCATTTGCGCAACAAAAACTGCATACTGCATTCGTATTACACAACTGCATTTCCAAACCGCAATATGTACTACATTCATAACTTCCAAAATGTACATAGAGTATGTATTATAAAATTAAAAATGGAATGTAACGAATTTTTCACAAATTTTTACACTATATATAATAAATTCAATATTAAATGAGGAATAATCATTATTTCTTGCAATAACATAGTTAAGTTCTTCGTACTTTTAAAAAATTCTCAGTTGTTTTATTACATTGCTATATGCTCACACTATCTGAATTATATTCGATTTAAAAATATGATATTTAAATTCCTCACAATTAATAAAACTACTTAAGTATTTAATGGTATATAATAAATATTCACTACGTTCCTACCTTTCCT